ACCTTGTCATTGCCCCTGATGGAACAGAGCTGCAGGTATTGAACTAAAGTAAGACCTGCTGAGGTAATCGCAATGAATCGCAGGAATCTGCAGTCAAGCTCCCCGGTTTGGAGGGAGCGGAGAGCAGGAGACCATGGGCATCTGGTCTGTAAGGCAAAGAGAGGCTCTGCCTACCCAAAGCTGGAGCCGTGCTGGCCCTGCCTCACTCCTCCCGGCCTCCAACTGCCACGTGGGGTTGCTTTGGGATGTTTACTGGGGTTCCGGCAGGTTCCAGGGTGGCTGAGAAGGCAGAGTAGCAGGGAGCCTCCTCAGCAGCCCACCCCTGAACCAGCATGGAACAGACACAAGACTCCAATTACAGTCACGTGGGCTCTCCCTGTTGCAGCAGCAGCCTCAATTCCATTCATCTCACCGCTCCAGGGGCATTGCTAGCCCTGCTGTGCAGAGACCCCGCACCCAGCTCGTTGTGTTCCTGCTGCTGCTTGCTTGCCAGTTTCTTCTCCTGCTGAGCCCCTCACCCTATCCAGCCCCCCCTCCCTGCACTTTGGCCCAGGGTGGGAAAAGTGGGCTTCCTCCTTGCTGCCCCCCTTGCTAGTGTATGCAGAGGTGGGGGGGTTGGCTTCACTTTCCCAAGTCAGTTGCTACTGAGCCTGTTGCTGGGGGCTCTTTTCCCCTTGCCCTTTCCCCACACGTGCTCCCCACAGTCCCCCTCCCCCTTGCTAGTGTGTGGAGTGTGGGGGGTTACCTAGCCCAAGGAGCCTTGCAGAGATGGCTTTCCGGTCCCCTCCCCTTCTTGCCCTCTCCTCACAGGCTTCCTGTTTTCTGTGCCCTGCAGTAGAGTGGGGTGGGAATGAGAAAAGTGGGGGGAAGGAGGTGGGGAGAAGAGACCACGGGGAAGAAATGGGGAATGAGGGGGATAGAGAAGGAAAGGGGATGAGGAATGGGGGGGGAGCAGGGCCCACCTCTTCTCAATACCTCCACTGAGCTCAACCAGAGCCCTATTGCCCCAACACCAGAACCCCAATGAGCCCCTGTGCATCCCGATATCCCACTGAGCTGCCCACACACAGACTCCCCCACAATAACCCCCTGTACTCTTGGATCATGCTGGTCTGACCCTGCCCAGCCACATCTAGTACGCCTGGCACAGTGGGGCAGGGCCAGCCTTTAAACTCTGTCAGGGTCAGGTGCAGCCTCACTGCAGAGTTCCTGTACTGAGGGTAGCTGGGGTTTCAGGGTGATCTCCCCACCTCAATGCAGCCAGTGGCCTATACTCCCCTCTGCTAGAAATGTGAAGATCAGGGGTTCTCTTAACGGCCTTCCTGTCACAGACTTCCAGTGTTACACTGGACCCATCACTTAAGGCTTGCTCTAAAGAGAAGTTTTTCCACTGATTTAAAAAAAACTGCAGATAAGGAACTTAATCATCCCGTGCCTCAGTTTCTCCAACCCAAAAAAGGGGGATAATAATAATACTTGCCTGCCTCACAGGAGTTTGTGTAAATTCATTGGCTTTCGTGAGGTGTTTTGATGCCATCAGATGGAAAGTGCTGAGAAGTGCAATTTTGCAAAGTGTTTTTACAATTTCAAAATATTTCTGAGTTATTCATGCAGTAGCCACTGCTCCTGGATTACAGGAGAATTTCATTTTGAGACTTTATGGGATGACTCCTCCTCCCACAGTGTGATGCTGAAGCAGTTTGCCAGAAGAGGCAGGGGGAGTGAGAGCAGGACTCTTTTGAGACTTTATGGGATGACTCCTCCTCCCACAGTGTGATGCTGAAGCAGTTTGCCAGAAGAGGCAGGGGGAGTGAGAGCAGGACTCCACCCAGCCTCCCTGATCATCACTTTTCGAAGGGTTTGTCAAAGATGCAGGTAGGCTGGCCAGCCTTATGCAGTGTGTGCTTCAGGGAGGGCTGCATCATTTGTGGCAGCAAGTACCCTGTTCTGGCCTGCTAAGAGGGAACTGGGCAGAACAATAAATGGCCAGAAGGAATGGATCTCCCTCCACCTGGGCCAGAGGAGCCCTTCAGAGCTTTCCCACAGGTAAGCAATGGCCTGGGCCAGGGCATTTTTTTTGTTTGGTTGGTTTTCTTACTCGTTCAAATTCTGTGATGGTCAGGGCAGGGGGAGCGCTTGGTGAGGAAGGCCAGTGACCTTGAGCCTGAGTAGAAAGACTTTGAAGGGAAGAAAGGACAGGGAGACAGAGGGAGGATGGATGCAGTGGCAAGGAAGAGAGAAGCTATTGGTGGGACTGATCTCAACTCTTTTCAGTGGATGGGAGATTACATGTGCCTGGTGAGTCCAGGGCTGGGGATTTGGCTCCTTTGTCCCAGGGATATTGGGTCTGCCAGTCTGATACATAAAACTGGCACCATCATGCTGCCCAGTGGGACATTTTACCTTCTTGGTTCTGTGAGCTGAATAGGTGCACTTATTGTTAAAACAGCAGCCAGCCTGTATTTTACTGGCATATCCCTTCGCAATTCTTATTCTTTGTCTGAGGTGCTTACTACTGTTGGGACAATCAACATAGGAAACCCTCAACTTGCCTGTGTGAAGAAGTGAAAATGAGGTAGCAACTTTTGCAATCTGATTCTAGTCATTTTCTTCCTGTCAGGTGGCAAATGGTAGCTGAAGGCAAGGCCTGAAACCTTGTTTGATTGTGTGAAGGACAAAGATTTCTCAATGATCTTTAACTGGTGCTTGCCATTCTGTGTTCCTCAGGATCAATGAGAGGTGTTTGGGGCATTTACAAGCTGCCTACACATCAGCTATGAGGGTATATAATAAACCGGTGACTGATGTTTCTTATTTCCCAAATGTAGTGCTGTTAATTAGGTACCTTGTACATATCTGGCACATGGTGCAAAACATGCTCCATTTTATTGAGAAAAATTGCAGAAAAGTGGATTTTTTTTCCAAAAATAGTTTCCTTGGGTTCAGGGATTTGACTGGAAGGGGACAAGCATGCAATGAGCAGGGACACAGGGTGCACAGGGAAGAATGGAGGGAGAAAGTGGGAAGGGGGCGGAACCTGGGCAGGGAAGCTACTGCCTCCCCAAGTGGAAGCTTCACCAACCACCCATGCAGGATACCAGGAAGAAAAGTGACAGCTGGAGGATAAAGCGCTTCGTGTGTAACCCAAAAATATCATGCAGGAGTGTGCAGTTGCTTTAGGCACTGTGATAGTCATTACAGGAAAAAACTCTCAATATTCTTAAATAGTAATGCTACAGAAAATTTTGGCTAGTGCTAAGATTTACATGTTTAACAATAGCTCCAGCTTTTGTTTTACAGGGCCTATTCATTTCCAGGAATTTCTAGATTTTCACTGTTGATTTAGTACCAAAGGCTAATTTTCCACTTAATCTATTTCAGTGGCTGCTGCACCAACATACTGCTTAAGCAGTGTCAAATTTTCCAGCCTCTTTCTTTGTTGAGTTTAACTCTGACTCCTGTAAGTGTGACTGTTCAGTTTAAACAAAAATAAGTCTACTACTCTTTTCAAAAATCCTCATCGATTGCACTGACTTCCAACCTCTGAGAAGTTATCTATCATTTACAGTGTGATCAAAAGCCCACTGAAGCCAATGGGAATTGTTCCAATGATTTCATGAGCTTAGAGATCATCCATTCTTTTCAAATGACAGTCTACTTGTCATGCTGTGAAACTTCATTTTTTCCAGTTACACTAATTTGTTTGTCCCTTCTGGATTCAGCTTCCAGATGAAGAAAGGCTTTTTCTCATTTCAAAACTAAAAACACAACAGCCTACACTGCAGCCATAAGAGTGATATTCAACATGAGCAAGGTGAAGTGCAGAAACACCCCTGGTTAAACTGTAACATATTCAAACTTCTTTGGAAGAAAGCAACATTGAAAATGATTAGGATCATACCTAATCTGTTACACAGTAGCAACTACTCCTTCAAATTTAACATCTAAAGAAGAAACCAAATCTGAAGCCATCTTTTTGCTAATGAAAACTCCAGTCCCTCACTCGTTGCTTCTAACAAGAACAAACAGGCTTCAGAACACAATGATTATTTAAGAATTACAAATAACTAAATCAAATTAAATTCAGACTACAGTAAAACCTGTGTTATGCAGCACGCTCGGGGATTAGGGCGTTCTGGTTATCTAAAAATTCCGGTTAGCTGAGGGTCATATCAACCTAGGTAAAACCAAATGGACAATAATAATAAAACTCAAAGGCTACTTCTAGACTGGCATGATTTTCCGCAAATGCTTTTAACGGAAAAGTTTTCCGTTAAAAGCATTTTCGGAAAAGAGCATCTAGATTGGCACGGACACTTTTCCGTAAAAGCACTTTTTGCGGAAAAACGTCCGTGGCCAATCTAGACACGCTTTTCTGCAAAAAAGCCCCAATCGCCATTTTCGCGATCAGGGCTTTTTTGTGGAAAACAAATCTCAGCTGTCTACACTGGCCCTTTTGCGCAAAAGTTTTGTGCAAAAGGGACTTTTACCCAAGTGGGAGCAGCATAGTATTTCCGCAAAAAGCACTGATTTCTTACAATAGGAAGTCAGTGCTTTTGTGGAAATTCAAGCGGCCAGTGTAGACAGCTGGCAAGTTAAAGGGGGCTGATTTTCTGAAAAATCTGGCCAGTCTAGACACAGCCAAGTTTTTAATACTGGTAGTTTTGTAGTATGAGGCAGTTGGTCTCACATTTCTATTTTGAGTTAAAGATGATTAGTACTTCTTAAATAAAAAATTGTTAAGCCAATCATGGTAAACCAAGCCAGGCCTGTGCACCTGAAAATGTGACAGTATTGTAGCTGGGGGCAATGCCAGTTAACAAAGTTTTCTGATTAACAGAGTGCTGGATAACAAAGGTTTCACTGTGCTTGAGTGGGAGGGAAGGACTATTTGTTGCTTCATTTTGAAGAAACTTTTTTCAGGAGATCTTTCTGAACACCTTGACTTGTACAAAGAGGAGAAATTCGAAAGCTGAGAAAAGGCCACATTTTTCCCTTACCTGAGATGCTCCAGCTAGGCAAGGCACTGAAACTGGCATATTTGACAAATGCTTCAAAAGTTGTTCAGATGATCTCTGAACCTCCTGCCTTTGTCCATCGTGAACCACTGCACTTCTTCCCAGTTGCCCATAGTCTGCTCTACCCCACGTGAAGACCTTGCCAGTTTCTAAATACAAACACACAGTTATGGGTTATTTCTCTCTCACAGCTAGACAGTGTTTAGAAAGTTCATTTCAAAACTAGAACACCCATTCTACGTACTATTTATTGCACCCTACCTAAAAGTTCAGAGAACACAACAGTGAAAAAAGTGAGCAATCGACTTACTCTTTGGAGCCTGGGGAGAGAGAAGGCATTAAAATATATCTGAGAAACTCATTGTAATTACCCATATTTCGGCATTTAGCTTTCAAACAGAAATGCCATCCACAGCATGGATTGTACATGGAATTGTTTCAATAAATCCGCATCCTCTAGAAATGCTGAATAGAATTTTTACATGCATTTATTTTACAAAAATAACCCTTTTTTGTTTTGCTTTAAGTGATACATACGTAAATTAGCTTACATTAAATTTCAAGAGATTTTCCTTACTTCACAGTATTTGGCACAGATACATCTTGTCTCCCTATATTTAACATAAGGTTTGTGTCTTCCTCAGAGACGATACCTTCTGCCACAAATTTCTGCTAGCTACAGAATCATGGTTTCCTCTGCATGGTAACAGGAGGAAGGAGTGGTGCCACAAGTTGGACAAAGATGCAACCTAAGAAGCTGAGAGTAGACAACAGGGGATGGATCACTCAATGACACAATGATAAGCATAAGCTTATCGGATAATCGACTAGTCATGCAACAAGTTGCATCCCCGCCCCTTGCTGCCGCTATCAAAAAGAGGCAGCAAGGAGGGGGAGCAGGAGCTGGTGGGGGAGCCACTTAAAAGCTAGTTCCCCCCAGCATCGTCTCCATGGGGGGCAGGGGATGTAGAGGCACAGCAGGAAACAGCGCATGCAGAGACTAAAGCAGTCTCCACTCACGCCAATTCTGATGTGATTCTGCTTTTGAAAGGTACAAGAGCCCTGCACTCACTGTGGGGCTTCCTTTTGAAATGTACAAGAGCCCCACTAGGCTGAGGCGCTGCAGGGAGCACAGGGCCAGTGAAGGAGTCCTCCACTGGCCCCGCACTCCCTGTGGGGCTTCCCCTTTTGAACTGTAGCAAGAGCCTGGCAGGGCTCTAACTACAGTTTAAAGACAGAGGTGCCCTTATGGACTAATCAAATAGTGGATGGAAATTCTATTGATTATTTGATTGGTTAATTAATCTAAATTTAATATCCATAACTCAGACCCCACGAGTATGTGTACACTGAAACTGGGAGCCTTTGCCCTACCTTGGTTAGACATGGGTACACTGGCTGTGCTCAAGCAACCAACCTAAAAAGAGAAGTGTAACTGTAGCAGTGTGGAAGGCCCTTTGGACTAGCCACCCAACTATACATGCAAGGCATCAGGCAGGTTTATATTAGAGCACTGTCTCTCTACCTGTACTGGGAAGCAAACTCTCCACTGTAGACATACCCTAAGGAAGAGGTTTTTAAGGCATTAAATTGATTCTACAATAGCTACACAGTCATATTCCTAAACAGATTAGCTAATATTTTTTCAAATATGACCCATTTACTTAGTCTAGACATACTCTTAGCTGCCAGTCAGCTAAAATCCCTATATTAATCTTTATTTTTTCCTATTTTTTTTCAAATAGATGATGGGTCTGACATTTGCACCCATATTTTTTACAGCTGTGTGATTATATGATTATGACAATTATGATGCACTTTGTACAAGATGTGTCTTGTCAGGTATCTATGGAAAAGTTATGAAATGCTGAATATGATTATCCTATTTATGAAACGTATCATTTTTGTATCTGAAATGATCAGTATTGACTATGCATCTGTATTACAAATGTGCTTACTTGGGTAACACCCTTACCTATCCAATCAGGTGTAACAATGATGAAGGTAGACAGTGTTAATAGCTCATTAAAAAAGACAATAGACCATGAAAGAGCTTAGCTTTCCTGTGAATGTTTCAACCCAACTGTAAACAATGGCTGTTATGACTTAGTCGAGCATGCAAGGGCATGTAACCAGACCATATGACACTGAGCTCCATTTTGGTACCTGTATTTTTCCACAAACAGGACTGGGAACCGAGCATATTACAAAGGGAAGCTATATAGATTTTGTCATAGTTATTTTTATTACGTGTCAGGGAGAAGTCAAAGGCTTCCGAGAATTTTTATTTACTGCCAGTGACCAACCTGCTCCTGACTGTTACTAAAATAACCATGACAAAAATCATAGGTTTATTTTTATGACCCACATCACCATAATATCTAAGCATGAAAGAGTATTTAAAAATGCAAACTGGAAAAACAACAATTCCTTCTCTTTCATTTACACAGCTTGATTAGTTTACATGTGTGTATGCGCGTGTGCGTGTGTGCATGCATGAGTGCGTGCGTGCGCGCATGTGGGCAGACCTTGTAGGAAAACAAAGTCAAAGGAATTAATTCTGTATTTACAGAAAGATTTTCAAAGGCACAACAATCAGTTGGGCATCCAATTCTCTCTATCTAAGTTCTGAATGTGGTTAATTCTATGTTCAGTCATCTTATCTTTCATGGGAATAAATTCAATGGCCCCACTTCGGAGTAGTTTAGAAACATCCCAGATCTGGCCACTAGCACCAACTGGACCGTATCACAAGGCATACCAACCTTAATACCATCCACATTGCCCACAGTAATCAAAGTGCTGAATGCAAAATACACCACTCCCTGGGACAGTTGAGTAACCACATTAATTCTTATTGGTTACTCGACTAGTCTATAGTCCCTGGGGCCAGCAACCAATGTTCTCTCAGCCCCACTCCTGGGGAGCCCCTTACCATCCTGCACTGCTGCCTCTCTATCAGTGGTTATACTGAGCTGGGCTACTGTTCAGCCTGCTAAAAACATTACTGGGGGGTAGGGAGAGAAATGCATGTAGTCAATAGCATTAACCGATAAGCTTTTGCTTATCGGTTAAGCGGTTAATTGAATACACTATTACATCCCTGGCATGTATGATGAGATCACAAAAGCTCAGGATCCAACTTCAAAGAAGATAGCTCTACTGAAATCGATAACAGAGGAAACCATCAATTATCATTCCAAGCACATGGATTACAGGCTGGAACACCATTTTGAGCTTTACTCATGAAAATATTGCTACAGATATAACCATCAACATCACTGAAACCTGCCTGTAACAAACCAACTGTCAAGGAGCTTATCCTTGCCATGGAAAGGAGATTACCTCTCCCATGGAAAGCTTCCCAGAAAAGACTGCATACCTTAGAATCATAGAATACTAGAACTGGAAGGGACCTTGAGAGGTTACTGGCTCCAGTCCCCGGCCCTCATGGCAGGACCAAGTACTATACAGATCATCCCCGACAGATGTCTATCTAACCTGATCTTAAATATCTCCATAGATAGAGATTTCACAACCTCCCTAAGCAATTTATTCCAGCGTTTAACCACCCTGACAGTTAAGAAGTTGTTCCTAATGTTCAGCCTACACATCCCTTGCCGTACTTTAAGCACATTGCTTCTTGTCCTATCCTCAGAGGCTAAGGAGAATAATTTTTCTCCCTCCTCCTTGTAACATCCTTTTAGATACTTGAAAACTGCTGTCATGCCCCCTCTCAGTCTTCTCCTTTCCAAACTAAACAAGTCCAATTATTTCAGTCTTCCTTCATAGGTCATGTTCTCTAGACTTTTAATCATTCTTATTGCTCTTCTCTGGACCTTTTCTAATTTCTCTACATCTTTCTTGAAATGTGGTGCCCAAAACAGGACACCATACTCCGATTGAGGCCTAATCGGTGCAGAATAGAGCGGAAGAATGACTTCTTGTGTCTTGCTCACAACATTCCTGTTAATGCATCCCAGAATCATGTTTGATTTTTTTGCAACAGCGTCACACTGTTGACTCACATTTAACTTGTCATCCACTATGACCCCTAAATCTCTTTCTGCAATACTCCTTCCTAGACAGTCACTTTCCATTCTGTATGTGTGAAACTGATTGTTTCTTCCTAAGTGGAGTGCTCCCTAAACTTCATCCTATTTACCTCAGACCATTTCTCCAGTTTGTCCAGATCATTTTGAATTTTGACCCTATCCTCCAAAGCACTTGCAACCCCTCTCAGTTTGGTATCATCTGCAAACTTAATAATCGTACTCTCTCTGCCTTCCGATATCATAAAATGCAGAAAACCTATTCTTCAGCAACATCTTCATGATTTGCTCTGCCTGTGCTGGAAAAAAGGTGACGTACCAAAAGTAATGAGTTACAGGCAGTCCCCGCTGCGGGCGTGCTCCAAGGCTTTGCTCCCGGTCTCCCTGGTCAGCAGACCAGGGAGACGGAGCAAAGCCGTGGAGGACGGGGGCGGGACCGCCACCCGCGTCTCCCTGGTCTGCTGGGGGTGGGGGGGTGCAGCTATTGATCACAATTTCATAGCAACACCAAAAAAACATTCAACCTGAGGGAGACACAAAGCATGGAAAATGCCAGCCTGAAAAGGTTAAAGTTTGTCAAAGTTATAAGCATTGGGCTATGACAAAGTGTCAAGAACTTTTAACAAGAGACATTACTGTTATACTACATATAATATAGAGGGTATTTAATAATGGCCTAAAATAGATATTATATTAGTCACATAGAATAAAAGGCTGAGGGCTGAATTACTTACAAATTCAAGGTGACATAACAAGAAATAGTGATCTAAAATTAGAAAAGGACAATTTTTAATTGTAAGTTAACAAAACACTTCTAGCCAATTAGTGAGTCAATTAGACAATGGAGTACATTTAATAAGGGGGACTGCTAAGGCATCAGAACTTGACGTGTTCAAGAACAGATGAGATTAAATGACTTAGCATATAGATGATGATCCTGAAATTTGTGGAGCAGGACACAGAACACCACGTTGGAAGTACTTTCCACTTCTAGCAACGGCTGACGCCAGTTCTGACTTACATACAGATTCAACTTAAGAACAAACCTACAGTCCCTATCTTGTACATAACCCAGGGACTGCCTGTACAACATCACC